GTAGGAATTCTGTGTATAACGTCTGTATCCCCTCTCTAGTTGGTTTATGCAAGATTCTTGTCATAACCAAACATCTCTGAAGTCGTATTCCAGGTTCAGTGATTTGCCCTGAAGGTTAAATACACAAAGCACAGAGTTGTGGCTCTCTTAAGCTGCACAACTTTTGTCTAGAAATATCTCTTGAACTGCTGCTTTATTACTCAGCTTGAGTGATGTTGCTCATATGACTTCTCATTTAATAACAGGACCCTCAGATCGCAGACATCTTGGCAACAGCTGGAAACGTAGTGACCATTACCGTCATGCCTTCCAGTATTTATGAGTATATAATAAAGAGGTAGGTAAAAAACAAAGCAGCTGTGGTGCTAATTATAATCAGGGTGTCTGTGACTATTTTTTGTAGGTTATATAAAATATACTCATGATAAGACCTAATTACAAATTTAACATGAAGGCTGGAGAAGGGGTGGGAGGAGTTTCAAAATCTGGTTAATCTGATGTTTTAGTGAGACTGATGTCTTCTGGTTCTTTTTTTTTAAACTGTTCACATGTTAGTGATGATTCTTTACCTTTTCTCTTGAAAAACCCTTTGCTAAACATAATCTGACTAAAATTGAGTCTCCAAGAACTTCAAGTACATGGATAACATAAGTATTACCTTGTAACTAAAATGCTGTTTCTAATGCAATTAATTCTGACGTAAACACGATTCTTGGCAGGATATACTTGTTTTTTCCTAATCCTCTGGCAGCACTGGCTTCCCACAGCCAAATCCCTCCTGCAGAAAATGTTTGTGAAGTTGCTAGAAGTTAACAATGCTTCAGGTACAACTGAGGTTTTCCTCCCCAAAGCAGTTTTCAGTTAAGAGCCACCTTTCCCCGGCTCTCCTTCCGTCACACTTGCCATGCTCCGCTGCTTGCACACATGCCCATATCCTCAGAGATGGTGATTATGCAGCCCAGTTACTAATAAAAACGTTGAGTACTGTGGGTCTCTCTTCTGTGTGTGCAGTTTGGTGCAGCTTTTCTATAGCAAAGTCTGTTATAAAAAAACTGTGGAATAAAAGGCCAACTTTGAAGTTGTATTAAAGGGCTAGCAATGACAAAGATGCAGCGATTGGAAGCTGTAGCAGTCTCCTGCAGTTGTCTTGTGAAACTGACTGCCTTTTCTCTTGCTTTTCTTCAGGATGGCAACTAGCATTATGAAGAGCCTGATGGATCACTCTGTTCCTGAGGTCTAAACTCACATCACGTACGTGTGTGTACCTGTAGATAATGATGATTCCACTAAACTCGAGCTGTTATACTCAGTGATTTCTCTCCTCTGCACTTGAGCCTTTCTGGAGGCTAAGAGAAGATATGCTGCATCAAGCATTTGCATCTATAATGGCTGGGAATGTTACAGTTCAACATATCTCATTTATTCACAAACTGTAAAACTTGTAGCCTTATGCTTGACAAATGTGAAATTCCGGTTGTGTTATGACTTCTCTCCGTAGGTCTTTTATTTAGTTTACTACTACTATAAGCCATTGCAACTACAGGAACCAGATTATTACTTGCAAAGTTACGTGTTGTTACCTAGAACAATGCTGGGCTTTGCATGTTTAAGACAAATGAGTATTTTTACTGCTTTCTGTTTGCAAGAGTAGAACTGAAATAGCGTATTAGTAGTATGGCTAGTACTAGTTAATTTTTTCGTTTTAGTAAATACTGTTTACACAAGAATGCCAGCTAAGCTGAATATAGCAAAAGGCATCATTCAGTAAGTAAGCATATTAAAGTAGTGTACAGATACTCAAATCTTTTTATTACTTGTTATACAAATTGTAACTAATATGCTTATCTCTCGCCTTAACCATGTTCTTAAGAATTCAGAAATAACCAAATAAATGACTTAAACTTTAGATATTGTGTGTCTGTGCATACTTAAGATGAACTAAGCCAGGCTTGTTTTGTTGAAGTCAGTTTCAACCAACAACAAAGACAAGATGGGAAATACAGTTTAAAATAGCTTTCTAAATAAGCTCACTGCCTATAACGTTGAAATGTTTTAAAAGGGTGGATGTGGGATACTTTAGACAAGACATGATTAACTTTTCATATCTTCAGCTTAATGTGTGGAAGCTGTTACACAAGACCTATTAATTGCATAGTTGAAATTTCATTTTGAAACTGTTTGCAGCTTGCTGGAGTTAACTTTGTTCACAGCAGCTGGTATGGTGCTGCCTTTGATACTTGTGACTAAAAGTGTTGATAACACCTCAGTGTTTTACTGTTACCGAGCAAAGTTAATTGTTACTTGCGCAGGGTCAAGGTCTTCTCTGCTTCTCACTCTGTCTCCGCCAAGACAGGGGTGGCCAAGAGGCTGAGGGGACATGGCTGGGTCTGCTGACCCAAATTGACCAAAAAACTCCACGCTTTGACATCATACTCAGCAATAATTTATGGGGAGGCTTTCCAGAGTAGCTGTTGCTTGGAGACTTGGGCATCAAGCTGCTGCTGGTGGGAGGTGGTGAGTGATTGCCTTTACATGACTATTTCTTTTTTCTTCCTCTTCACTTTTAGTAAACTCTTATTTTTCCTAGCTTTTACCCTCCTGATTCTCTTACCCATCCTGCTGTGGGGCAGATGAGCGACAAACTCAGTGGGATTCTGCTGCCTAGTGTCTGTGTACCAGACTGGGTCATAGGCATGTTCAACTGAACGACTTTAAGTCTAAGTGATCTGAAGTTAAATGCTAGTTTTGGTGAGTGATTTCCTCTTTTAATGCTGTTCCAGGTTTCAGCTGTGCAGTCTAGGATTACTGAGCTTCAGAGCACTGAGTTTAGCAGTGTAACCTCGGCTGTGCCTGTCAAGAAGAATCTGTCTTGTGGCTTCCCATTTCTCAGACATGGTAACTGAGGGAAAGCTATTACACTCCTTCAGGCTGTAATGGTGATCAGATTCATCTTGGGAGCCACTTGAATGGGGTTGTTTGGTTACTAAATGATAAGTCTCTGGAACCACTCTGGCAAGCACTTACTGGCAGTAATTGGAGACTTCATGTAGCATTGGTATGATTCAGCCTTGTGGCACAGGACATGTGGCCTGCGGCAGTCAGCTCTGAGTGCCTTGGCAAGGGAGTCTGAGCTATGAAATCCCTGGTGCCCAAAACAATGTATTATTGAAACACTGATCTCTGCAGCTAACCCGTTGTTACTTAGGAGCAGATGATTCAGCAAGGACCAGTTCTATACCTATTCAAGCTTTAAAACTCCTTATTGAAGCAAACCTATTACCATATTACAGCTTGACTAATGGGGTTTGGCTACCTAAACCTTGTGATTCCCTACTAAGTACATGTCTGGCTAATTTTTTTTTTCAAAAGTAAACTAAAAAGACAGGTAAAAAAAACCAAAATTGCTCTAACTACAGCAGAGATCCATTGGAAATGATAGAGGTAGTACTTCAGTACAAGCATTTAGTGATTTCCTTGCAGCTGTAGCATATAGCAACCAGAAGGGAAAGAATTAATCAAAGCAACTCCTGTGTTCACACAAACTAGCTTGCACTTAAGAGTAAGCTACAGCTAAGAGTACACAGCTGTGCTTTGAGATAAGCTGCAAGAAGAGATTGGTCTATATGTAACTCCTTGTCAGGGACAAAAATACAGTAGTGTGCCTATTATTGCTTGCTTACCCACACCCTTAAAACAACACATAAAGAGCATTTAACACAATCCAGGAATCACTTAAGACATTTTCAGGCAAGTGTAAAATGTAATTTTCCATCTTTTTTGCCCACACAGGTATATAATGAAAGGTGAAAAAACAGGGCAGATATCGAACATTCTGCTGCAACATTAAGACTGGTAACTGCAGGCATGCATGATATAGCTTAATCTTTTGCCACGTGTGCCTCTCCCACACACACACTGATTACATAAAAATTCAGTTACTTGCTAAGCCAAGTGAGTAATGCAGCTGAACACCAGTTTTCATTGAATTTTCATGCCATTAGCTTACTGAAAAATGTTAAAATCCAGTGTAATAAAAAAGGAATGAAAAAACAAGTCCCTAACCATAAAACAGTTGTTCTACAATGCTAAAGAAACAGGTGTCCAAAGTCAAGACAGGGTGTCTATAAAGGACTGACTGAACATAATTTAGAAGAATGGACACATTAACAGAGCATCTTAATACCAGCAGTAGAGAATACCAGAGAAGTAAATACTGATCTTGGGTCGCACTGGGGCAACATCACATCTGCTGATGCTCATTGCTGTAATAAGCCAATTAAACACTATTTCTGATCTTTAACTTCAGCACAGCCCCTTGCAGCAAATCATATCCTTAAGATCTACAGAAAGTAAGCTTAGTGCAGCACTGCTTTTTCACTGGGTTAAGACTAGAAGGGATGAGATAAAACCAGGAACTGTATCTGTTTAAATGCTGTATTTAAATTCTATCTCAGATTATCTCAGTTGAAAAAAGCTGAGACCACCAAACAAAACATGAAGATGCTGAAGAGAAGGAAAGTAATAGAAGTGATAAAAGGCAGCAGTAATACAGCATAACACTAACTTCAGGCACACTATTAGGGAAGATTTTTATCAACACATTACATTTTCTGTTTGTAGGGGATCAATTTTATGCTTTGTTTCCTTTTCAGGCCAATACATTAGTGCTGGTTTTCAATAGGAAAAAGCAATATAGAGTATGTTCTTGTTCTTTATGCCTCTGCAGATAGCCACATGTAGAGTCTAGACAGCAGCCTGCCCACTGCTCAGAACAACAGCTGCTTTTAGCAGTAAGTGTTCAAAGTAGTATTTGCCATTGTTTGTATCTTCACTAGGAAGAAATGTATACTACACAGGAGATACTACACACATTGTCATGAGACATGGCACTAAGTTGCAAGCATCCTTAAAGACTTAAGAATGCAAATGCTTCATTGAAACTCGTTCAAAGAGCATACTATGATATATCCTATGTAAATCAAACAATGACTGCAAGTTAAGAGCTCTTTAATTACAGAAAAATAGGTCTTTAATTTCATCTCATATAATTTTAGGCAAGCATTTTCAGTATGATAGTCCATGAAAAACAAATGCATACATTGTAGAAGTTAAGAGCTCTCAGTGAAGTCACCGTATTTAGGCAGTTGTAGTCCAAATCTTCCTATCTGGTTGAACTTCAGCAGCCACCATTGCACACAGTTAAGTTCCTTTAAAAGGTTTGGTTTAAAATAAAGAGTTCATTTAAACATCTGGAGGGAAAAGCACTCAGTATTGCAGTTTCCAGAACATGATTTGTTTGTCTTCCCCTCCTGTAATAACACTGCTGCACTGTTCATTCATCCACATGGATGTTACAGCACCTGGGGAAAAACACAAAAATAACCAAGTAAGTAAATCGAAATGCAAAACAACTGGTAGGAGAGATGATAGAAAAGATCTTTTTAAGGAGAGTTTAGGATCATTTGACTGGATTGCATTGACACAAGATACACTAGGAAGACTTTTAGCAGGCTGCTAGGTGGCTGTTCTTATTCACAGTAATGATCGCATGCTACACTGCCTCAGCCGACTCCTGAGTACTACAGCGACAGCATCTGTTGCAGTGTGGCACACTGGCTAAAGGGTTCATGGCGATAGGGGGAGGAGGTTTCTTTAGAAAGTTGTATTTTTCACTCTGCTATTTGGACTTCTCCTATTAAAAGTGCATTCACATCTAGCACATGCCTAGAAGCCCATTTCTAAAGCTTCCTCTAGCTACAGAATGATCCGTATACAGGTCAAGTGCAAGAGTACAAGCTTATAGTAGGGAAGTGAAAAATAACTGCTCATGAAGGCAGCCTTAAAAACCAAACTGAATAAAACTGAGATAGTTTTTTCTCCTTCACATATTTTGGTAGCTAATGTACTGAAGACCGTACAGATACATTTAAGAAGCCTATAAATCCCCATCAAAAACAATTTCTCTAGTGAACTTTACTTACTTTGCTGTTAGACTCACAATCTGGACAGACTTGGACAAAGTATACAACACAGTCTATACTACACTTTATTAGGACTACGAGGTAGAAAAATGTTGATTTTTGTGATGTTGTTTGAATTAGAAAAATACCAAGTAATTTATCTTCGGTCAGTCTTCTAAACAGCAATATTCCTCCATTGTTATTAAATTTCCTAGGAGGCTCATGTGGACCTACTTTTAGTATGGTGTTCCAGATGACACATCAGGAACAGCCCACTGACTCTCAAACCTGTCAATATTAACAGAGGTGGAAAACAGGAACCTTATGTACAATTTGAGAAAGAAATAGTTCAGGCATATACCTGTATGTCCTTTGATTCTTTCAATAACTTTTCCTCCAAGGAGGTCCCAAATCAGTAATTCACCAGATTGACTGCCTGATAAGATAGTATTTCCATCCCATTTGAAGCACCTGCAAGTAAGTCTGAAATCAGTTCACTTCAAGCTTTTGTACAGTGAGAAAAACTACACAGCTTCATAATCTGATGTTCTCAGAATTACCTCTGTGGCTCATCAGTGGTTACAGAAGATATAAGCATTCCAGTTTGTACATCTATTACTTTAAAACAACAGTCCTCTCCTGCGCTGAGTAGATGTCTGCTGTCTGTACAGAAAAAAAAAAAAGCAAGCAAAAGAAACACCACCACAAAAGCACATTTAGACCTTTCAGTTCTGGTTACCAAAGCAGTCTGTGATACAGCACATTGGGTGTGACATTGTCTGACCTACTTATTTATAGATAATTTACTGTAAATTAAGTCTCTAAGCAAGCAATGATAAAATTGGTTTAGAGTCTAGACCACTGGTCTACAGTCTAGTATGGCCTTGTACAATTACTAAACTATTTCTAATGGAGATGCGTGTCAATCAAACATCTCACCATCCCCCTTAAAGTAGTAACTCCAATCACAAAGGTGTATTACATGATATCAGGAATAAGATTCCCCTTGAAACTCCCAGTGGTGCATATTAAATACTGAAATCCAACGTACCAGGACTAAAAGCAGCGTCAAACACAGTCCCAGAATGGCATGGCAACTGGTGCAACACTGTTGCTGTAGGAACATCCCAAACACTAATGGTACCCTCTTTCGTTCCAGATGCCAGTATAGTATTTGCAGCATTAAGGTTAATTGTATTTACCTAGGAAGTTAAACATCCCATGATTTTCCTATTCTTTCAGGTAAACCATCTTGAAACAGGTTTTAAACACACAAAGCAAGCCCATTATCCATAAGATGGTATCTTAGTTACAAAAAGCTTTTACATTTAATTCTGCAACATACTTAAGTAAAGTACAATTACTAAAAATCCCACCTATAAAAGGTAAAAAGATTGGTCCCTTTGACGATACTTATTTTAAAATGTTTTTTCTTTGCAGAATCAGAAATGCAAATTGACGTTTCAGACTACTTTTAGTACCCATACTCTCCATCTAAATGGAAGACATTACCCCTAAGGGTGAAATTCTTTACTTTTAAAGAACTTCCTTGCTGTCAGTTGTTTGCAATTTTCTAGGGTACAGTTCTTAAATATTACCAGAACTGCTGCAGTATTTGCCTATGTTGTGACCTGTTAAAAAACTATCAAGAAGGTTTAAAACACAGTAATTCTGAATATCCTACCAGAGTGGCATTAGAGACTATAAATAAGAGTGTGCAGTTACACTTTTATGATTCACTGCACACAAATTTGTTTACATAAATTTACAGTGAAATTCAGGAATATATTTTATAGAGTGGTAAACAACTCCGACAAATTCTTCATTTGCTTGCCTTTGGCAAAGATTTATTAAGGAGAAGCTGTAACAAAGAAAACACTTGAAAATCCTTAGTCTGTTTTCAAAAACAAACAAGAAAACAAAAAACCTTCAGTCCTCCCTGTGTCCCCCTGGAACTTTGTGCATACAAGCTGAGCAAGGCAAATTAGGAAACCTTTGTTTAGAGTGTTGCTTTGGGCCCCAGCAGTGGGCCTTTCAATCAAGGAAGCAGGGAACACTGGCACAGGCCACATCAAACAAGAAAACCAAACCAAACCAAAAAAAAGGCCTATGCACACATGTCCCAAAACAACACACCCTCTAAGCCCCATAACCCAATCCTTGTACTTTACCACTCCATCTTTACTTTGATATTAACGAGCAATGATTTTTCACATTCTGAGATACTACACCTCTTGTCCACATACTTACACTAACGTCGTGTTCTAACTCTGCAAGCAGTTCAAAGTGGTGCTTTTTATTGCTCAAGGTCTCTCCAGGAACACAATGCCACACCTGCAAGACAGATATTGAAGTTTGCTCAAGAAAGCATTACTATCTGGATGTGTTTCTTCAGTACCGAATTCTCTCGTTACAAGGAAGGCTGCTTGTGTTAACTGTGAGCCTTGCCTATGTGGCAACAACATATGGCACTTGAACTCGTTTACCCTAAGCAGAGCCACACATTAAACGTGACACTGCTGATTCCAGGTGCCCTACAGGAGCCTACCTACACACAGGTATATCACTACACTGAATGAATACTTACCCAAAAGCCGTACACAGAAGGCTCTGAGAAATTCTGTCTCTTAACTTCTAAATTACCTACCTAACCGTAGGCATGCTCTTTAGATCAGCAAGTTCCTGGTCCACCTAGCTGAAGAACATAAGCTACAGAACTATTAAACATTTTAGAAGCCTATTACACCAGCAAACAGAACCACTAGTCAACATCACAAAACACTGCAGTCCCTCCAACCAATACAGTTGGCCTTCAAAACCCCCCACATTTAAAGTAAGCTAGAATAAATAAAAGTTCTTTAAAGTAACACTGCAGCGTTGAAACAAGAGTTGAGAAAGCTAAACAAAAAAGATATTCTGGAAATAAACTTACTGTGATACTAGCCAAGTTACTATTCTAGTACAACAGGTACATCTACTCCAAAGCATTTGGCTGGCTGAATATTACAAAGTGCTAGCTTTAAATAGTTATTGAAGTGTAACAAACCCATACACAAACCTTCACAGTAGAATCCCAAGATGCAGAATATAAACGCCCATCACACCAACAGATCTTACTGACTGCATCATCGTGTCCCATTAAGATGTCTTGCTGTCTTCCAAATGCAATAGAATAAAAATAGCTACCAGGAAAAGGATATAAAGCATTAAGTCTTCAGAAAACTGAAATATTTTTTTCTAAGTACATGAAAGTAACTTTGCTTCTAGAGCTTCTAACAGAAATCTACTGAAAAAAAAAAAGAAATATAGCCACCATGTTTTAAAAATGTATTCCTATATCATTATTTAAAACATACACATGATGACCAAGGCACTCAATGTAATTCAATAAAGTCAACAGAAAGTAAATACACACATATGATTGTCCCATGAAGAACTTATGACAGTGGTATCTCCTGGTAAGATTAGACAAGATGACAAAGCCTGTAAGGAAAAAAAAAAAAAGAATATATAGTAGTGTTCAATTTCTTACACCAAATCAAATAGAGGTACATTAACATGTTTTTGGAGAACAAGAAGCATTTTAATCTTCTGCGCACACAACACACAGGTGTCATATGAGCGAACACTAATCAAGGACAGCAAGAACACTTAATCCCTGGTAAACATAAAGGTAGCACTGAATTTCAGAAACACATGCAAAACTGATGTATCTCCGTTTTCAAAATGCTGGTATTTCAAGGACACAGTATGTAATTCATCACTTAGGAGAAACTGGGTCAGCTCTTCATCTTGTAAGATGCTGTTAATTCTAGACACCAACAGCTAACAGAAACTAAAAATGAAGGTTTCCTTTGATGTTTGTTCTCCGTAACAGCTACTTATCAGCTCAGCTCTTTCAAACAAATATAGCTATCTAATTCCTACTATTCTCAACAAGAAACGTCCTTTACACAGCTGCTCAGTTACATTACCATCACTGGAAAGAGCAAAGAAAAAAAAAAATCAGCCTAGTGCTTCTACTAGTATCGTTATGGGTCATGGTTTAGATCTGTTCTAGAAAACAGTAAGCTGCCGGACTGTAAGACAACCACTGCTTCCAGCATTGCTGCAAATTTTTAAAAAGTACAGAAGGCCTCTTCCTGAAAAACTGACTTTTGGCCTAGGATACAGTGTAAAGAAGCAACATTCCTGTTTGCCTTGGCTAAAGCATCAGGAATTGTTGTATCTAGATGCATCTGCTAGCATGTGCCATGACAGGCCACAGGGTCTTGAACCGGCAGCTTACCTGGGGACCTGTTGGAGTATGCTATGGTTTCTGTCTGGGCAACCCATTTGGTTTTTTTGTTCCCCCTACAGATGAGGGTACAGAGAAGGCTCATATATCCTGGTGTCTTGCCTCAATAAGAAACTCTGAACATGATAATTGAAAGCGAATCTCTAAGACCCAGGTCTGGCCACAGTGCTCGAGCACAGAAAATCAAATACAGAATCTTTGCAAGTTCTGTTTTAGAACCAGGGGAAAATGTTGTTCAGAGGTTGCTGAGATCACTGCTCATGGAGGAAGGATGGCTCAAAATCATCCAGCATAGATCCCACTCCCTGTGCTTGGTTTTCCTCTGCCAGCTGACTCACAGCCTCCAACCACTTGGGAGCTGTAAGGCAATGCTGGATGTGAACACCTGGGTGGGATTTCAGCTTTGTGATCCTGGTCCCAGTGGCAGTTCAAGGTTGTTCAAGACAACTCCTTTGCTCATGCCCTGGACAGCAGGGCAACTCAGAACAGAGCTAGCACCGAAGCAAAGTGCAGCCATGTAATGCGCCCTTCGCATGTTCGCAGAATGTGCTCTGTCTCCCTGAGGCCTGACAGAGTCTCAGTTCTCTCCACTAAATGACTCACACACAATACAATTGAGTAGGCAGGGGAAGAAAAAAGGCATTGATATATGCTAAGAGCCATTTCTGTAAGTAGCTTAAAGAAGATTCCCAATGGTCTTGTTTATACTTTGACAGCAACTTACCATGTTTGAAAAGGACACACTTCTCTGGGTTGTTTTTGATTCTTTGGAAAACATCTTCAAAGTTGAATCTGGGAGTAATGGACAAAACAGACAGAAGATAAAAGGACTGTTTTTTATTGCAGAAGCTAGTAATTTTACTCCTGTTTGAATATTCAAGTATCTTACTACGAAAAGCATTATAGGTTTCTCATACTCTCTGAGAAACATCTTATAAAGCTTAAAGCCTGGAACTAGCCTGTTCTGCACTAGTTACAGATGGACTCCCCTCTATGCCCATCAAACTTCAGAGAACTCTGGTATCTGAAGGGAGAAATTACCACCTTCCCAAGCCTAGATATAGATAATAATGAAATTCTTGAGTCAAAGTGATCTAAAACTTGACAAATTCATGTGGTTATTTATTTACAGGAAGCAGATGTTTAACTTTATTTCTGTAATAGGTGACTTGCAAAGGCAACAATCCAAAAGCCAAATAGAAGTAGCCTTCATATATGAATACAGAAAATCCCTCAAACAGTGAGAAGGAATTGAGCATGAAGTAAAAACAAGAATCCTGCATTTGGCAGAAGATAAGGGCCACTCCTTTCATGACTGTAAAAAAGCAAAACTCAATGAAATATCCCATTTAATGTCTTCATTTTACTCTCAGTGAAGATATTAATGGGATTAACCACATTTCAGAATTTCATGCTGTTTTTTCCACAAAGCATTAACCTGCATTTACACTGCAGGTTCTAGTAAATACCTCTGCAATAATACTCACCCTGGGATGTAGTGAAAACAGAAGACCCATTGCAAGTGACTGCTATTCCAGTAATTGCCCTGTTTAATACAAGTAAGCTGATCGGTGATTTCATAGGTTTTGAAACTTAACCACCATACTGTAAATTGACTATAGTTGAAATCTGTATTTGATCTCTATAAGAGCTAAGACATTCAAGGAGATTAAAAGCACTATAGTGTTGTGTTATATGCCAAGAGACTCGAATATACCTTGATACAGTATGAAACACCAGTACAAGTTCCCCATATTATTATGCAAGAACTTAATCTTCACCAGAAAGGACATGCCCATGTGAGAGGATAAATAGTTTCACATTCAATCTTTTCAATTTGGGATTAGCTACGAAAAGAGTCAGGAACCTGCCTACAAGCAGATACTGAATACCTCAAGTTTCAGGAATCAAAGCCTGCATGTCTTTTCTCCTCAAATTTGACATTGGCTAAGGCAGTATAGTCTAGAAATGTAGACAAGTAAAAAGCATTCTGCACAGCCAAAATTCTGTTATACTGATCTTATTCTATTTTTTGTCTTTAAAAAAATAATAATTAAAAAAATAAAAAAAAAATACTCAGAAGCTGAAATTCAAGTCTGTTTTCAGTATCAGGATTTCCCTAACCCTAACAATCCGAAAACAGAGACCTTTACTCACTACAAATATTACCTTGTTTTTTGGACAAGAGAATGATTCTTTACTACATTGGGTTACTGTCACCACAAAAGTAGTTGCACTCAAAGCAATATGAAATCCTCCTACTACTTCAGCCACAAGTACAAGAGGTAGGGCCAAAGGAAAATCTGTTCTTTGAAATCCAGCTGCTGCTGTTCATTGTTCATTGTTCCTAAAGTTCACCTGAGGTGCCCCTGCTGACTCACGACTCTCCAGGAATCCATGGGAATGGTAGTTTGGTACCTGGATTAACTCATAATCTATAGCTGGAGACTTGGCAAACTGCTTGCACAGCAGCAGCTTGAGGTGTACAGTACTTGAACTTAGGTGGTTTAACCTTTCAAATCCAATAGGATGCAAAAGTAGTTAGGTCTTCCTGGGGTTATAAATAACGAACTAAACAAATGGAAGTCTTCATGTGCCTGCTACTATCACCGTTTTAGAGAAGGGTAAATCAGTATCTCCTTCAGGTGCTAAAATGATAATGAACTTAGCTCTAGATTTGTATAAAGAGCAAAAATATTAAAAAAAAAATCATCAAGCTGACAAATACCTCTTCTGGTTTGATAACCCACCCTATACTCACATTCATCTTGTGTAATTAAATCAATGAGCTGTTTCACAAAGAGAAGTTTTTACCTTAAACCCCAGCCCATCATTCAGATTGACATGCAGATACCCCTACCCTCCCAATTAAATGGAACAATTTTGACTGAAGTGAAAAGAATAGTACCTACTCTTTGTGAATTTTATATTGCTCATCTAATTTTAGTTTGGCAATATTGTTCCAAGCAAGTGTTATACTTTCTTCTGTCAAATCTTCAAATGATTCTTCATTTGGAGAAACTGCAATAAAATGTCACAATGAAGTTTTATCATAAAGAGAAAATAACAAGATTTCAAATAACTAGGTAGCTGAAATTGCAAACATACATACGAAAGTACAGAAATCATGCAGAGCTCCAGGAATAAGAATTTTTTGCTAACGTAGAGAGTGACAAGATCACTAACTTTTTTCCAAATCTCTTCCTGAATGCATAGGCTTAACACAATCAAAAATACAATTTTTTTCCCAAAACCACGGCTTTTAAACCTGAGACTTTACAGGATACATTTCCAAAATGGAGGAAAAAAACCAACAACAAAACAACAAAAAACACAAATAAAAAGTTCTGTGCAGAGATGTTTTGGTGTTCCATTGCTATGCCATTTCCAAATGGAAAAGTACCAGGAAAGCCACCTACTGCTACAATACAGCATGTGCTTTTATTATTCTATTGCATTCTTTTAGGAATGTCACAACTTCATTTCACTGCACTGTTGCAAAAGTTAAGGGATAGAAAAACGCAGTAAAATTGAGACAATGAGATGTCAATTACTACAAAAAAGCCAAACCCACCAGGACCTGTGAGTTAATGACTTAGGCAGGATACCACCACATCTATTTAACACATATGAACATTATTACCACCATATACAACTT